TTTTTTTTTTGAACTATTTACAATGGGGACGAGTATTCGAATCTTTATAATTGAATATAAATTCATCGAGTCATAAGATGCATGAGTTATTGGTTATTAAGTTAGTAATAAGTTTTTTTTTTTTTTTTGAACAATATTACATGGGGCGGGTTGAACCCTGCTCAAGGGGGTGGGGAATGCATCAGGTGGTCGGACACCACTTAGCCCAAAGGGTCGGATGCGTAATAAGTTTTAATTTAAACCGTATTAGTTTTTAGATCCGTATTGAGTTTTAATTCAAGTTGAATTAATTATTCTAAAAAGTATTTTTTCTATTTTTTTAAGGTGAAACTCCTATCAATTGAGACATTTTAAGGCATAATATAGTATTATTTTGATTTTGGAAAAGGAAGACTGACGCTGTATCTTTTACCATTTGGGTGCAGGCCATGGTAGCTGCCAATTTCTGTAAATTGAAAGAAAGTCCGGGATCGGAGAGGTCCCGTCTACAACTCCGGTCTCCGGAGGAGCATGACCGACTACAAGTGGCAAATCTTTTCCAATGAACTGTAAAAATTGCTATGTGTTATGATTCTTTAATGAGATTATATAATTTGATTTTCGTTTACAAAGTGTGGTTTAATTTAAGTTAATTATTGATTATGAAATTGATTATGGAGTGTGGACCTTGTGCCCGTTCGTCCGTATAAAATTATTTATTTCAGAGTGGGCTTTAGCCCAGTTGAAAGGGCCTTGGACAACAATTTTAAGGTTTCAGATTCCCAGCTGGCTGGGTTCAGGGGCTGATAGATAGCCCAAGTGACCTATGAGTCCAACATTTTGATTTTCTTGATTTCTTCTCTTTTTCCTTTCTTTTTGTGATATTTTTAATTTTTCTTTTTTTATAAAATGGTTTGAGAGAAAGAAATGATGAGAATCATGGGACCTAACATCAATAGTAAAACATACCAAAGCCAACCGGTTTCTTGCTTTTGCAATGACTTTTGTTTTGGTTATCCAACAACTTGCACAAAGGTAGTTAATTAAAGTCCAATTAATTTTTTTTAGCATAAAATCCAATTAATTACTTCAACCTCATTTGTCACTCGACATTTTAAACGTCACTTTCCCAACGGTTATGTTGGTAATTATTTTTGTTTTAAGTTATTCATGAAATATGTTCCAATGACACAACAAGATTTCTTCTAAAACTTCAAGTATGAAATTGTATGTTAAACTTTTCTTTCAATATTGATGATTGTTGCCAATAACTTAAATAGTTCAGTGGTCATCTCTTTTCGCTGGAAGTAAAAGATTTCTGAGTTCGATTTGCATAGCATGCAGGTGGGGTAGGATAAAGGATGAGAAGGGAGATGATTGTTTTCTATTGTGTAACCAAAATAAAAAATATATATTGATGATTGTTTGTAGATTTCTTGCAATTTAATTAAGCAACTAATTAGTGTATTGTTTAAATTTTTTTGGGAGGGTATCACCAGCATTTCTCACAAATTGCTAATAGCATCCTTTGAATATATATATATATATATATATATATATATATTCAATCCCAAAATGGGCATGCAGGAGGTTTGCAAGGCTCATGCCCATGTATGGTGGCCCCTCATTTAAGGATTCTTACTTTTGGTTGGTCTCCTCCAAAATGGTACATTTGGAAGGAAATCAGTCTTTAATGAGGAGGGGGAATTGGTTGTCAAATGTCAAATGAGGTAAGGTAAGGTAAGGCAGCTTTATCTACCCATCCCTCTCTCACAAACAAAGAGAATCAATGCGCACCCACTTCCTTTTCTTTATAAATCTGTTCAAATTTTCTTAATTTCTCATAGGACAACTTCCACCAAACCTTAAAAAGAGGTTTAAGTTTGGTCTAACTAATTTCTACATTATTTAAATTTTATAAAAGACAAAAAAAAAAAAAAAACAGTGCCATTCTCTCATCTCTTATGAATCTCTCTTCCCGTGTGGAGAATTTTAAAATATAAATTGCTAAAAATTAGTCTTGTATTCAAAATGTTGAACCATTGTTAAAAAACTACTTCTTCCCATAATTTATAAAAGTTGATTAGATAATTTCATATAATACATAGATGAGATTTGAATTTTTTTTGTATGCAATTTTTGTTAAGTATTTTAATTTATATTAAAAAAATTTATTATTATTTATTTACTTCATAAAATTGTTAAGTTAATTTATATAAAATTAAAAGACTATAACAACTTAAAAAGATTAATGGGAGTGTATTGCTATATGAAAATAACTTTAAGGATCTGTCTAACTTGTGATTTAACAACACAATACTCATTAGTTGAGATATTTTTAATTAATTTTATATAAATTTTCATATTAGATTCATAATTTTTTTTACATATTTTGAGGTAAAATATTATATTATATTTTTTATATTATATATTATATTATATTTAAATCTTGTATAAAAATTTATGTAAAATTAATTACAAATACGATAATAAATGAAGTTTAACTTGGGGCACAAATTAAAAAATCTCTAATTTTAATTAGTGAATTGAGGCGTTTCACTTTTCATGAAAATTAATTGGGTCTTTTATCCCTAGGACTGTAGTAAATGCACTTCTTAAACATTAATTTTCACAAGAAAATAAAAAAATGAATATTATTTTTAGTATCATTTACACGTTGATGTTTTTAATTCAACAATTAATAAAACTGATGTTAATTTTAATTTTTTACATTAATAATAGAAAAGTGTAATAAATATTTTTTTAATTTATGAATTTTTCAACATATACTCTTAAGATATAAATTAAAAATATAATAAATATATTTTTTCATTATAACTTTCTATTGAAAAAACAAAAGTTAATCTTTAATTTATTAATTATTTAATTAAATTCATCCATTTGACATAAATATTAAAATTAATGTCAACTTTTATATTTTTTTATATATATTTATGATTTATAATAAAAAAAATTACCTTAAATGTACCCTTATACAAATTAAAAAACTCTTTAATTTATACCTAAAAACAAAGGTTAAAAAAATTTCAATTAATTAATGCAAGCAACTAACAAGAATTTACTAATTAGTAACTAGTACTCTACAACTGTAAAACACTCATTCAGAATAAATATGTGAAATTCATACTTCTAATACTAATTAAACGGATGGAGAGCAACTCGATTTGGATGGAAGGAATTAAGCAAATGGATGTAATTATTATGGTAGGGTGAAGATCAAAGTGATTTCCTCTACATATGTGGTTCGGCATAACGTGGTCCCATGCTTCAATTGTCGAGCAAATTAATATGTTCAATGCCCTCGACTATCACATGTTATGCTTCCTCTTCCTTACCGAACTTCAAAATTAACGTTCCACCCTATCAAATATTTTCAATGTCTTCTTAAATATTACGAAATACGATTAATATAGTTAGGAAAAAACTGTTTTATAAGTCTTTAAAAAAAATTTTGTTTTGAGAGAAATGTCTAAAAATTTATCTTCTAATTAATGTTTTTAAAAATTAACAATTGAATTAAAAGTTTTATTCATATAAATCATGTAAATTAGTTTTTAAATTGTTTTAATGAATCTTACTACTTTATTCCATGTACTGTTTAAAAAAATTGACCTAATTATTTTTTATTATAAAAAATTTAACACTATGAAATATATATTAATGAATAGAATTTTTTTATTAAAGATTTATAAATGTAAAGTAAACATAAAAATTAACATACATGGTCAACATGTATAAAATTTTTAATTTAATAATAAATTTCGAAAAAATTAATTAAAAAATAAATTTTTAAATGAATTTTGCAAACAAAATTTCAAGAGAATGTATATACACTATCATCTTATAATTAACTTCAATTTAATGTATTAACCTTGAACTTGAATTATCGTAACAAAGGACTCGTAATCAACAAGTCTATATGCATTAATTGACGCATGTTGCTACTGATTAAATCCTTCCTAATAATAATAACAAAAATGAGAGGATGAGTAGAATGGAAGACTAAGGAGAGAAACTAAAATATGCGACATAACATATTTCTATATAGAAATGTGCAAACGTAGGTTCTCTTTGTACAAATCTCTTCTACTTTTTCACTTTACTCACT